CTTTAGATCGCTGAGCTATCTCACTGGACCCTCTTCAGTCTTTCTAGAGAACAACTCTATAACTGGTTTGAGCATTTGAAAATAGTATTAGCTATTTAACAATTCCACATATTCACATTTTGCATCCTCTAAAGAAAGATAGTTTTAAACCATTGCACTCTTAACATAATGCCTGCCAAAGTAGATACTTGAAAATTTGTTACAATTGATTTATATAAGGTTTCAGAAATCAAAACTGTCCAGATCAATACATTAGGTGACAAAAAAGATTTCTAGACAGAAGAACATTAAAATGTTTAGTTTTGTCAAAATGCAAATATTTTATGAAAAGAAATTTCAGTACTTTTATGGTAAAGATTTGAAACTTTTGTCTTCCTCTTTCATGATTGCTATAACCTCAGTTTCATAGATCAACAGTTTTGCAACGGAATTACAGTCTTTTCTCCCTAAGAAAGCACTGTGAATGTCTGATGTCATCTAGGCATGGTGGAGCACACTTGTAATCCTAGCACTCAGGAGGCTGAGGTAGGAAGATCACTGTGAATTCGAGACCATCTTGGACCATACACCGTGAGACCCTGACTTCAGAAATCTGATGTAAAAAATAATCTTACCCAGGTTTCTGAGGGTAGAAATCAAACATCCAGTAGTTATCAATATATTCTGCATTCTACATTTTTAATTCACCTGTCTGAAATTCACATGACTTCCTCTGAGTCCATTCACATAAAATATTTTTCTTCTAGGCATGATGGTACATGCTTATAAACCCATCCAGTATGGAGGCTGAGGCAGGAGGATTACATGCTTGAGGCAGGTTGGACAACATAGGAACAACTTGTCTCAACATATAATTTTTTTAAAAAAAAATAGTAATATAGTTCAGTATTTGTGCTCCACTGGGTTCAACTCTAGTAAAACCAAAATATTTTTCCCTTCAAAATTGAAATTTCCAGGCTGAGGATCTAGTTTAGTGTTACAGCACCTGTCTGGTAAGCACAAGGTCCTTAGTTCAATTCCCAGTGCAAAGACATTGAAATTTCCTTTGCTTTTCCATTTCATTCTGAGTGGTAGAGCACTTGCCTAGCATGTGTGAAGACTTGGGCCAACCCCCTGTTACAGAACCCCTGAAAGTTGAAGCAATATATAGGTGTACTTAAGAAAAAGTACTACAAAAGCTTATTCAAGGCACCACTAGAGAAGATTATGGATAGGATGTCACAATCCAGATGGCAATGAAAATCTAATAAAGTAAACCTTAATATGCTTCCAACAGAATCTTCAGTAAGATTTTTCTTTTAGACATTATGAAACTATTCCAAAAGCTTATCTGGAGAAATATATACAATATAC